CCCGAACTCGGGGTCCCCACCTGTGAGCGCAGTTCCGAAGGGGATTGAGGCACAGCGGGAGGGGCGTGTCAGCGGACACCAACCCAGCCCCACCTCCTTGCTTCCGCTCTGAAGGGCGTCTCACCAGCCTTCGCTTCTAGTTTGCTTGGCTCTTCTGTTTCTTGTGTCTGCTCGTGTGTCTGCTGATCTCATGCTCTCGTGGAAGGGCCGGGATGAGCCTCTGGAGCAAAGCCACTCTGCTCTGCAGATTTCTCTTTTGGACTTAGTGCACCAGCATTTTCTGATGTAAACATTGCAAGGCGGTCACTTAAAGGGATGCTCTGGCCTAGGGTTATGTTGACATCTTTAGAAATTGCTTGTCTGCCGAGAAGACTGCCCTGGAAACAAGCGTGCCTCCCCAGGGTGGAGGTGGCTGCCAGAGCTTCTGGGCTCTGGTGATCCAGGTGCCTTTTCTGGGGCAGCACCGCGAGGGCCTGTTTGGCCTGGGAGGAGCCAAAGCATGAAGAGCTTTATAGGCCACACGAGTGGAATTTGGGTAAAAACGGACGTTAGTTGCAATGGGAGGCCAGTAGAGGGTTTTTTAGGGGAGTGATTTAGCTGGGCGTGTGTTTGAAGAAGCTCACTCTTACTGCCTGTGGGAAGTGGATTGTCAGGGCAAGAATGCCATTGCAGTGGTCCTGAGAAGGGCGCAGGGGCTTAGATTAGTGTGACAGCCGTTAGCACTTTGATGGGTCTTAGTGACCGATTAGAAGTAGAGGGTGAAGATAATGACTTCTAGGTTTCGAGCCTGAGCACCTGGGTGGGTGGTGGTCCCATTTGATGTAGGAGAAGCAGGGGGTGAAAATCTAGGGTTGGTTTTGCTCTCACGTGTTAATTGGTGCCATCAGTGGGCAGGTGGATGTGAGAGTGGGGAGTTCAGGACCATCCGGGTAGAGGCTCGATCTGGGAGTTGGGACTGTAACTGGTGGCTCACGGGCCAGGGCCTGGAAGACAGTGTCAGGTAGAGGAGGAGGAGGACTCAGAATTGAGCTTGGAGGAGATCTAACATTTCCCAGTGGGATCAGCAAGTGCTGGGACAGGTATACTTGAGAAGCAGCAGGCAGTGAGGTGAAAGGACACCCAGCAGTACATGGAGTCATGGAAACCACCAGAGGACTGCTGGGGTTAAGGGACAGCACTCCACCCCCCTCCCCCCTTCTCTCTCACACACACAAAACACACTCACACTGTTCTGATGCTGTGGAATCCAACAGGACACTGATGCCTGTTGCATTTGACAGCACAGAGGTGACACTGGTAAAGGAGGTTTGGGGGTATGAAGCTCCAGGGGCCTGCAGGGGCAGGGGAGGGGGGAAGTAGTGACAGCAGCTCTTTCCAGAAGTTTGTCAGTGAAGGGAAACCTAGAGGGGAAATAGTGCTGAGGGGCAATGTGGTAGAGAAGACGGAGATTCTGCTGTGCCTTATGCTGGAGGGATTCTGCCCGAGTAGGTGGAAGAGGGAAGGGGTCTCAGGAGGAATGCAGGCCTGAGGCAGGAGAGAGGGCAGGCCAGGTGGCTTCTAATGAAGCACGAGGCGAGGACATTTTGAGAAGAGGGAGAAGAGGAGGCATAAGCTCACCCAGGCTGTGGAAAGTGAGCCTTTTAGAGAAACAGTAGGATTTCCAGCAGTATGGAGGACCCACTCAAGATTCGCCATTATGAATTTAAAGTGAAACCATTTGCTCAGGTAGCTCCGCTGGTTAGAGCATTGTCCCAAAACACCAAGGGTGGGGGTTCGATTCCCAGTCAGGACACATATAAGAATCAACCAATGAATATATAAATACATGGAATAACAAATCAATGTCTCTCTCTCCCCTTTCCCCCTTCCTCTTTCTCTGTAAAAATCAATAAGTAAAATTAAAAATAATAAAGTGAAGCCAGTTTCTAGATGAACATTTAGCTGTTTCCAGAAGGGAGGTGGTAGCATTTATTCAGAGTTGGGTGTCTTGTCAATTAAGGAATGTGGACAGTCAGGGACCCCATAATCTAAGCTGGACAGAGTGACCTGAAACTAGGAGGGGCTGACAGATAATTTCTGCAAAAAGCCAGCTGCTTCCCTTCTCCTGTTAGGCAACATGGATAAGCAGAAAAGCTCCTCCCAGCCCGTCACCTAGATCCTGTGTTCTCTATTTTAAAGACTAGCATGAGGCGTGATGTAACTGTGGACAACGTTCTTTCTTTTTAGGAAATTTGTGCTACGCCCCGGCTGTTTCCAGATAACCCACAGGAAGGGCAGGTGAAGCAAGGGCTTCTGGGGGACTGCTGGTTCCTGTGTGCCTGCGCCGCCCTGCAGAAGAGCCGGCACCTCCTGGACCAGGTGTCTGTGACAGTGCAGCTTTCTCTTCTGCTCTGTCTTCCTGTCTGCTGTGCCCAGGAAGGAAGGAAGAGGCCAGGCAGCTGAACCCCTTGTTCTGTAGGGCTCTGCTGCAGCTGCTTGGCATGGGAAGTGGGGAGCTCAGCTGTCAGGCCACAGGGGCTCCCAGGCACAGACGCAGTGTCCCCTCCCCCGCAGCAGTACTTTCTGCCCCGCTCTGCCAAACCCCAAGCCCACTTCTTACGGAGTCAGAGCCATGCATCTGAACTAAAAAGTCAAACGTGCCAGCCTAGACAGGAAAGGGTGGGCTGAGGGAGCCTGTGACCTGGTTTGGAATTAGCGTCCTTAGCTAGTTAACTTCTTAAATAGGTTTTAAATATAAATTGGCAAAAGATGATTGAAACTCTTTCTGACAGACATCACAGGTAAAGAAGGCCTGCTCAGACTTCCTCCCTGGACTGTTGATGGCCTTCTGTTTGGCTTCTTGCTAAGTATCACCAATGAATGCAGCAATGTTCATTGACAGTGGTGACCCCATTCAGAGCGCCTCCTGGGTCCCAGGCCCCATGCTAAGTAAGCACAGCACATCGCTGGCTTTCACTCTCACAGGCCTCACCCGATGTGACCCATTTTCACCAATGAGGGCACTAGAACCATTGTCACTGTTTTCCGGCTAGTGAGTGGCAGAGTCAGGACCAAACATGTTGTCTAGGTGCACAGCCAACACTGCCTCTCGGGTCAGAACAAACCTGGCAGTGAACATGGATCCAGGTGCTGGCAGAGGTCCTGGGCTTCAGGAGTCTGCAGGAGGGTTGCTATGCCCATGGCAACCTGCCATCTGCAGCCAGCTCTGCTGAGAATTGGGTCTCATGCTTCTAAAAGTCACATTTGTTTTGGATTCAGGTCAAGGGCTAATTTGGGACATTAGGGCATAATGGTTGACTTTAAGCTTTGGGAGACACTGGCTCCCTCATTATGGTCTTAGAATATTTTATTGAGAAGTCTGGATTTTCAGTCCAATGGTTGGTTTTCCAAGGTATGGAATGAGGGCAGATCCTTTGCAGGCCGCAGGGTACTGTGGGACAATGCAGTGTGGTCACACTGGTTAGCATGCTGGGTGGGTGCTGCGAGATGTTTGTCTCATGGTCTCCTTTTGCCTTTCCCTGTGCACGGTAGGTCTTTCTTCCGGGACAGCCGACCTGGCTCGACCAGACATACCGTGGCTCCTTCACCTGTCGAGTTTGGCAGTTTGGACGCTGGGTGGAAGTGACCATAGATGACCGTCTGCCTTGTCTTGCAGGGAGACTCTGCTTCTCCCGGTGCCAGAGAGAGGATGTGTTCTGGCTTCCATTACTGGAGAAGGTCTATGCCAAGTACGTGTGCTGGAGGCTGGCGGGCTGGGCCATGCCACCTTAGACTGCCCCCGGAAGCATGTTTCCGCTCTCCCTCGCTGCAGAATCCTGTCGTTTCCAGGCGCTTGGCGGCAGGTCCTGGGGTGGGGCTGACTGGTCCAGAGATGGGAACTCTTGAGGCTTGGCCTGTGGTTTGCCTCCCTTTCCCTGCCCTTATTTCACAGGTGGGCATGAGGGAGGGTGTGTGTTTCCTTCCTTTCTCTTTCCTCAAACCCCAGCAAGAAAGATGTTTCCATCTATTTGTTTTTCACCCCTGGGGACAGGCTGCCTCTCTGCAGGTGGTTGGGGCAGAAAGAGGCCGGCTAGGTATCAACCTTTTTATCTGGTCCTGACTGAGCCCAGAGCCCTCATGCAGAGTGAATCAGGCCCTTCCCTCCTAGAATGCATTTACCGTCTTGCTGACAGTGAACTGATAGGCACTTTGCACTGAGGACAGGAGGGAGGCCTGCTGCTGACATTGGGGTTGGATCCCATCAGATGGAGTGGATGTCACAGCCTCTGCCCTCGTGCCTCACGCTTGTGCCCACACTGGCAGTAGAAGAGGTTTTGCACGTAGGCAGAGGCGGCTGGGCTTTGCTGGGACACTGAATGTCAGCCGTGAAGACGTGATTGCTTCTGGCTGTGGAGATGGTGAGGCAGCAGGAAAGAAAAGCGATTGAAGCCGGGTGGATGGGATCACAGGATGATTTGGAGTGTCATAGACCAAGGGGATAGAAGAGAGGCAGGGTGCTGCTCCCCCTACCTGAGGCTCATTCCTGTGTCTGTCTTGCAGGGTCCATGGGTCCTATGAGCACCTATGGGCAGGGCAGGTGGCAGATGCCCTGGTGGACCTAACCGGTGGCCTGGCAGAAAGATGGAACCTGAAGAACTTGGAAAGCAGCAGAAGCCAACAGGATGGGTCTGGCGGCTCAGAACCCAAGACTTGTTGGCAGCTGCTCGGCCTCAAGGAGCGGTGTCTGATCAGCTGCTCAGTGTTCAGCCCCAAGGCAGGTGAGGCGGTGGTCCTCAAAGGGCCTACACACATGCGCCCTCAGATCCTGTAGGCAATCCCTGAGGCCCTGTCCGGACTGAGTAGAAAGTGGGGACATTTGTCTTACCAAGCTGGTGTCTGGCTGTGTGAACTTGTTCTGCTCCAGAGGGAAGGGTCCCTTTTCCCTTGACCAGGACTTACCTCCAGGCAGGCAGGTCCCTGTGTGAGGTCACCGCTATGCAGACATGGCCTAGGAAGCATGTGGTGGTACCATCTCTGGCTCAGCTGGCAACCTGTGAAATCAGCACTCAGGTTTCCACTGTAGTGATCATGTATGTTCATTGAAGAAAGGTTGTTGAAAGGAAAAACTCCCTCAAACGTGGCTACCTTTGACTTTTTAGTATGCTTTCTCCGGTTTTCATAAACGTACCTTTTGCATTCTGCATCCTAGATCATTTTCTGTGTTACATAAACTTTGTCAGCTTATTGGGTTAGTGGATCTGCTGTAGCTTCTTTCATCCTTCCCTTCATGTTGGAAGTTTAAGGTCTTTCTGATCTTAAGCTGTTATAAATAACAACATCTTTATGCGTACAAGTATCCTATATAGTATTATTTCCACAATGGAATTTTATATATATTAATTCAGAGAGGAAGGAGGAGAGAGAGAGAGATGACAGAGAATCATTGATCAGCTGCCTCCTGCACACACCCTATTGGGGATCGAGCCTAAAACCTGGGCATGTGCCCTAACGGGATCAAACTGTGACCTCCTGGTTCATAGCTCGACACTCAACCATTGACCCACACCGGCCAGGCTACAATGAATATTTTGTCAAAGACTATGAACATTGAAATAAATTGGCTCTTGTTGACAATTATGCTACCCTGGTGTGTGTGTGTGAGGGTTGGCACAGGCCTGGGACAGGCTCCTCCCCTGAGGGTGGGCTAGACATGGGCTGCTGGAGGTCACCTGGACCCCACTAAAGTGGCAAGGGGCTGGGGACGTGGGTGGCAGCTACAATGCCATTCTGAATAAATCATTTAGAGATAGTCCAGGAGTTTCTTTTTGCATTGGACCACCACCCCTCCTCTCCAGGTAGGTTTCATCCTATTTGGCTCCTTCTGTGTCTTCTGTCTCTGGTCTCAGGGCAGGTGGAGTTGTTTCTCCTTGGACCTCCAGTCCTCCCACTGCCCATCCATCCTCTGCCTTCCCAGTTGGCATTGCCAAGTGATCTCCCTTTTCCCTTGGTGGTCACAGACTGTTGATGACAGTGCTAACAGTAGCACTTTTGAGACCTGGCCCTGCACCAGGCGTCCTGCATGGCCATGTGGCCAGCTAGTGAGGCCCAGAGAAGGGAATGAGCTGCCAGGCCTGGTCCAGCTCCCTCATGGGGGCTCTGTGCTGGGTAAGGCCACTGCTGAGCTAACTGTCCACAGTGGTTAGGAAAGGAGCCCCTGGTGATATGTGTGATCTGGGTGCCTGTGGGGCCACAGCTGAGGGGGCTGGACCAGTCCTCAGGAAAGGGAACAAGACCTGTGCATCTGCTGGGTTTGGGGATTCCTGCCCTTGACTGAGCTGCTCCTCGCCTAGGTGCCAGGGAGCTGGGGGAGTTTCACGCCTTCATCATCTCGGACCTGCGTGAGCTCCGGGGTCAGGCTGCTCAGAGTATCTTGCTGCTTCGCATTCAGAACCCCTGGGGCCGGCGTTGTTGGCAGGGGCCCTGGAGAGAGGGGTGAGTGCAGTTGGGGGCCATCAAGAGGGGGTGGTATGCAGGCTCAGAGGGGCATCCTGGGCCCCCATGCCGTGGTTGGTGCCATGGTAGCTCTGTGGTCAGGATAGTGCTCAATTGGCTCCCAGCAAGGTGCCCATAACCCAAGGCCACATGGTCTGTGCTTGGCCTCAGGTGGTCTAGGAGGCTGGCTTAGTGCTTGGTACTGATGGTGCCCATAGAACAGTAGACGCCCAGTCAGGCTAAGGGACAGGGACCTATGAGATGCCTACGCTATGTCCTCAGCTTGGCTTTAACACCCATAACTGATGGACGAGGGCGCTGCGACAGTCCCCTTAGGTGGCCGGGGTGGTGAGCAGATGTCACACTTGGTCTGAGCAACCACGCCTGAAGCGACGGGCAGATGTCCTTCTGTCACTGCTCACTGACCCATTCGCTCAGCCAGGTCATGTGGTAGGAGCAGAGGTGATGGTCCTGAGGAAGGTTCAGCCCAGGGCAAATGGAAGCATGGGAAGGGGGCCATGGAGTTTGGCCCCAAGGTGCTGGCAGGGACAGGGCTCTCAGGACACCCTCTGTCCCCTCTTGCCCCACTGCACGGTTAGTGCTGTCACTCTCAGATGAGAGATCTCTGATGACTTGAGTTTCCTGCCAGGGGTGAAGGGTGGACCCAGGTGGACCCAGTGGACTCGGCAGAGCTGCTGTCCCAGCTCCAGGAAGGGGAGTTCTGGGTGGATGAGGAGGAGTTTCTCCGTGAATTTGACGAGGTCACCATTGGCTACCCGGTCACGGAGGCTGGCCACCTGCAGAGCCTCTACTCAGGTATCCAGTGCCATTCCTGGGCAACCTTTAGGGGGTGCAATGCAGCCACCCAAATGGACTTTACCTTCTGAAGTCAAACCTAAGCAGGCACCCGCGTCCCCCTGTGGTGGCTCCCGGTGGGGGAGGCAGGTGTCTGTGAAGGTGGGGAGCCTGACCTGTGTGCTCTTGCCCTAGAGAAGGTGCTCAGCCACACTCAGGAGCTGCCGGGGGCCTGGGTCCTGGGGCAGTCCGCAGGAGGCTGCCGGAACAACAGTGGCTTTCCCAGCAACCCCAAGTTCTGGCTGCGGGTCTCAGAACCGAGTGAGGTGTACATTGCTGTCCTGCAGAGGCCCAGGATGCGCACAGTGGACTGGGCTGGCCGGGCCCAGGCACCAGTGGGGGACAGCCGTGTGGTGTGGAGCCCGGCGAGCATCCTAGGCAAGGACTACCCTGCCGTGGGTCTGCATCTCTGGAAGGTAACTCCGCTGGGCCAGCTTCCCACTCACTGACGTACAGGGTCCAGGATGGGAGGCATGTGGATGTCTGAATCCTAGGAGCTGCTGTGCTGGGATACACGTGACTGACAAGAGCCCCACAGGCCTCCCCCCTACCCTGGCTGTCCTGGGGATCATGTGCCTATGGGGGCTCCCACAGACCCGGCACTGGGAGAACTGGGTGTGTCTGTGGGCCAAAGGAAACCAGAACCAAAGCCCCAAGTCGGCAGGGCTCTGGGGGCTGGTGTTTGTGGAGGTCCCAGCCCAGTTTGGCCACTTCTTGTGGGACCTGGAGAGGTCACTCCACTCTCCCTGCGCCCTCAGTCTCCTCCCTATCAGGTGGGAATGGTGACGGCTGATCCTGTGGGATTGTGCAAGGAGCCCTCTGGACCCCAGTGGAGATGCCTGTCCTGGAGCATGGCTGGTGCAGGAACTTGCCTGCTTGCTGCCAGGGCCTAGTTTTTAGTCTGTATGTCCTGCCAAGGTCTCATAGCACAAGGCACAGTGTTCCCTGTCCCTTTGTGGGTGTGGCTTACATTGTGTTCCTTTCCTCCCACTGAGTTGCTGGAAAGCCTTTTATCCAGCAGCCCCGGTTCCACTAGCCGTGGGCACAGCCCTTTTGCATCTGTGTGTCCTGGAGCAGGAAGTCCTGCAGGCTTTTGTGGGGACAGGCTGAGTGGAAGCCCAGGGTCATGGGCATTTTCAGCCGGCCCCTGGGAGGTGGAGTGCTTTCATGTGTTAACTCTTTGGGGAGAGGCCCTGATGCCAGGAGTGGGTGGGGCGGGTCTCTGTGAGTTCCCACACAGGCCTCCTCTCCACAGGTGGAGAAGCGGCGGGTCAGCCTGCCCAGGATCCTGTCCACACCCCCTGTGGCTGGCACTGTGTGCCATGCTTACGACCGTGAGGTCCATCTCCGCTGTGAGCTCACCCCCGGCTACTACCTGGCCGTCCCCAGCACCTTCTTACAGAATGTGCCAGGACAGTTCTTGCTCCGGGTTTTCTCCAGTGGGAGAGTCTCCCTCAGGTGAGGGCCTGGCCATTTCTTTGGGGGCCTGTGTGCTCCTGCCTTGATCAAAGCAGGCCAGACGGTGCCTTTAGCCCCCATCCTGTGCTTGTCTTTCCCGGGCAGTGCCATCAAGACAGTGGTCCAGAGCCCTGGCCCTGGGGAGACCCTGTTGGCGGGAGAGTGGGAGACTGTGCAGCTGCAGGGCTCCTGGAAGATCGGCCAGACGGCCGGGGGCAGCCGGAACTTTGCCTCCTACTCCAGCAACCCCTGCTTCCCCCTCACGATCCCTGAGGGTGCAGGCCCCCGCTGCGTCCGGATCACTCTGCACCAGCACTGCCTAGACAGCGACTGCCACCCCATCGGCTTCCATGTTTTCCAGGCAAGCTCTGCGAGCTCTTGGGGGTCAGGGGGAACTGTGAGCCAGGATGGGGTGGGGCATGATGTGGAGCCCTGGGCTTGGTCATTTGGGCATGTTGCCCAGGCTGGCCGGTCATGTGCATGACTCATTTCTAGGTTTCATAAAGTTTGTAATTCCCTGGGGGTCACAGGTAGCTCAGGCATCCCCTTGTCCCTTTGCTCTGGCTCAGAACAACTGTGTCATGGAGTCAGTTCTCCCCAGGACGGTGCCTCCCACCAGGAGGCCCAATGGCATCACTCGGGCGTGATAGTCAAACACCAGCAGCACCCCAGAGCTGTGTAACCCTGCCCTCTGCCCATGGCCCGCAGCATGAGGCTGTTCCTGGGTGCGTGTGTGCCCCTGGGAGCCAGGGAGAGGTGGGTGATGGCAAAGGTTTGTGGGGAAGCGCAGTAAAGGGGTATGGGGAAGGCCACACTGGCTGAGACCATTGAGGAACTGACAGCCACTCTGCTGCCTAAATGGCGCTGCCAGGAATTTCAGATCAGAAGGAAAACACAAAGCCAGGTGGTGGTGAGGAGCTCACAAGGTCCCCGAGGTTCTCGGGGCCAGGCAGCTCAGTCAGGGCTACAGTGGGCTCAGATGTGTGAGGTGGCTCCTGAATCCCAGACAGGCCCAAGGAAAGAGGGGGCTTCCAGGGACTCAGACTGGAAGTATGTTGTCCCCACTTTCTACCTAGAATGGTTGTGAGCCCAGAGGAGTCCAGAAGTAGGTGCTGCCAGTGAGTCATAGCCACCCAGGGTGCCTTCCTTGGCGGTCTGCTCTCTCCCACCATGTAGGCAAAATGCTTAGCAGACCTGTAGTTAGAGGAAGGGGAGAAGTCAGAAGTTGCAGGCCCAGACCACATGGCCAGTGAGGCTCCCATCCCACACACTGTTGTGCTCCCAGGGGCCCAATTCTAGACGGGCAGGGTGAAGTGGCCAGTGTTCCAGGATCTGAGGGGGGAAGGGGCATACGAAGCCTGGAGCACAGGGGATCTGGTGGGAGGGTAGGAATTTCTGATTGAGAAGGTTCTGTACCCTAGAGAATGGGCAGAGCTGCTGAGAAACCTCCACTCCCAAGAGCAGAGACACCAGGAGCTTGGGGAAAAGTGCCAGTGGCCAGTAGGTGCCTCTGGGCCTAAGCAGGGGCAATTTGGGTGGTTCCCAGGCATGGGCATCTGACACCTGATGGGGTTTCCTGGCAAGGGTGGTAGGGCCTCATTGAGCAGTGAGCCCAGCTTTGGGGAGCTGTTGCTCCTTCTTGGAAGGGGGCACATGTACGGTAGGGGACCAGGCATGAAGCCCCAGGAGGTCCAAGCAGACTGCAGCCGGGGCTGCTCCAGCCCAGCACACCCTCAGCACGTCCCCAGACGGGGCTACTTTGGGTCTGGGAAAGAGCAGCCAAGCTGAGACTGAGGACAGTGGACCTCTCTACCTGCCCCATGGATAGGCTTCCTAGTCAGTCTGTGCCTCCCCAGGTTCCAGCGGACAATGGGGGCCAGGGCACGCCCTCCCTGCTGCTCCAGAAGCCTCTGCTGAGCTGTGTGCCACATTGCTACACCCAGGAAGTGAGCCGCGTCTGCCACCTGTCTGCAGGGACCTACAGGATTGTGCCCTCCACCTACCTGCCAGACACAGAGGGGGCCTTCACAGTGACCATCGCAACCAGAATAGACAGGTGGGGCTGTGGGGGGCTGTCGTCCTGAGGACCTTAGTGCCCACCTTCACCGTGTTCTCCCGCCTGCCTCATGGTACCTGGGGACTCCTTGCCTGTCAGCCTCTGGGCGTGTAGATGAGCCTGAGTGCTGGGGAGGGGCCCTGGGCTGACCCACGTGTTCTTTCCCACAGGCGCTCCATTCACAGCCAGGAAATGCTGGGGCAGCTCCTCCAAGAGGTACATGGGGCCTGGGAGGGGCTGCCTGGTGCCCTGGGGCCTTCATTCCCCAGCCTCTCCCAGTGGGCCACACTGTGGACTGGGCTGTGTCCTGAGGCATGAGGTGCACTGTGTCTTCCCCGCTGTCCAGGGCAGCCACTGCCCACACCTCACCATCTCTCCTTTCACAGGCCTCCTTCATGGCAGTGATGAAGACCTAACTGGATAACCCCACTGGAGTCCTCAGAGGCCTCCCTTGGCCCATGATGTCCTCACACAGCATCCTTGCACGGTGCCACCAGCCTCAGTGCTGTAGCTGCCAGTCCTGCACTGAGCAGCTGCATGTGCCTGTGGCACTGGGTGAAGGTTCCTCATCCTGGAGAGAGGCAGCCCCAGGGTCAGGCAGGTGCTGCAGGGAGAGCAAGAAAGGCCCAACGCGAGTGTCCTGGTCCCCAAGCCATGACAACAGCTCCGTGGAGTCCCTCGGGGCTCCAGAGAGGCCTCAGCTGACAGACGAGGGTGTCAGCACACAGCTGTTTGCAGCACTTCTGGATGTAACTTTATATATAAACAGGAATACTGAGCAGTTCACAGATGTCTTATTTCAGGCAGGGAGACCCTGGGAGGATTGCAGCCCCCAAGGTAGGGAGGTTCAGGGAGGAGGAGGGTGGTGAGGAGATAAGGTTTGGAGGGTGGAGGAGGATCTGGTGCACAGGGCAGGTGCAGGAAGGATGCTTCCTGCCATCTTCCCATCTGGCAGCTTTGCCATCACCAACCAAATGGTGTTCCCAGGTGTGGAAAGGTAGGCACCGGAGAACTTGAGGCCTGGTGTTCCGCTGCGTGGTGTTGCCACATGCAGTCAGTGCTGACACTTGGAAGGGGATGTACCTGGGACCCCTCCCCATATCCAACACAGCAAACCCCATCATGCCCCTCCAACTCAGTCCACATCATGTCAACATCAGCCAAGGCATCCAGCCAGCTGAGTGTCTGTCCTGGGAAAAACTGGCACTGCCTATTGTCCAGTCCGCACAAGTGACCTGCTTCTGAGCTTTCCCAACTGCCCTTCATGGCCGTACCCTGTACTTACGGCCTAGTGATAGGACTGGGGCTGCCCTGCAGTGGAACCCCCAGTCCATAGGGGCCACACGAACTCTAATGGAGACACAATGGAGCCACCACTCCCACATCTTCAGGGAGGTCTTCGTGTTCAACCCCTGTGGTACCAGTGTTACCATTGTAATTAGTTATTAATATTAATAGGAAAGGAGCAAAGGGGAGGTCAGACATTATAAGCATAGCCATCTGGGCAGCTTCCCCAGGAACCTGCAATTTCACACCACCAGGGAACCACCAGTCCAGTCCCTGCAGGTCACTGGCAGAAAGGACTGGACAAAGAGAAAGATGGGGGTATGGGCAGTAAAGTGGGTAATATAGGGAAAATACTTGCCTGTCAGTCTAACCTTAGAACAAAGATAATTGGCCAGAGGGGTGGAGCCACAGCAAGCCTGAGTAAATTTGGGAATATATAATCCTGAGACAAAGGAATTCACCCTTGTTCCTCTGGCTTTGTCCTGCTTCCTTTGCTCCTGTGTTCTCTCCATAGCCATGTGGCCCTAGAAACTACGTGGCCCCTGGCCATGTGGACCCTACACACAATGGGCTGCAGCTGGGAACACAAGCTAAGCTAGCCAGATGCTGCCCTGGACTGCACATATGGAATGGAAATGACGCTGGCTTTAATCCTAGCTTTGCTGAAGACAAAATAGGACTTTTTCCTTGGTGGGACAGAGGAAAAGGGGAACTTGGAAACTCAGGGGTTTAATTCCACACAAATAAACACCACTTATTCTCTCATGTGAATCTCAGAAAAGTCCTTTTCTTGTGACATCACAAAAAACACTTCCACGGGCGATAGGTGGGGACACAGAGAGCACCCCACCGATAACACCGGCTTTGATTGGTGTCTGTAGGGGGAAAAGGTTTCCGTGTCCCCTTGGCCTTCCTGACTGACATGCCTGACCCACAAAAGGTGCTGGTCATATGCCATGTGTCAGCCCCAATTATGTGCTTAGAGACTAGGAAGTGACCCCAAGAGCCCACTGTCACCACTGATTGGTCAAGCCAGCTGTGCACCCCTGCTCCGGGCAGATCGCTGGCCCTGGCGGCTGCTCCAGCTGAGGAGCCTGCACCTCTGGGCTTTGTCATCCATCCATCTTCTGTTTTCCACTTGTTTTGCTGGAAGCAGTTTGATTACATGAAAAATGAGAAAGCCAAGCATTATGTCACCCATTAAGATTCCCCGCAGGGTGGCCCTATGTATGTGTGTGTAGGGGGTGAGGGTGGGGAGTGGGGGGCGGTCATACCACCCTTCCAAAGGAGGAGGCTATGGTAGACAATGCGAGATGCAGCTAACTGCCCCCATCACATCTGGGCAAGGGGCCCAGAACTCTCAAAGACCGAGGCTAGCCTTTCTGGGGCGGAGGGGTGAGGGTGGCAGCTGGAACTGGCTCCTCCCCAAAACCCTTGGGTGACTCACCCTTTCCCCTCTGAGGCACCCTGGCTGTGGCAGGATCTGGAGATAAGCCTTGGTCTCTCATTGGGTGGTGGGGAAGGACTTTTTTGGCAGAGGGCCCAGTTGGGGCCCCACTGTAGGCTGGTGAGGCAGTGGCCCTCCGGACTTCCAGGACCTGTGTGGTTGGGGCAGTTGGGCATGGTCTCCATGCCCCTCCCAGCCAGCCCCTCCTGCCTGGGCCTGAGCTGGCCTTACATGGACCTTACAGACACAGGCAGAGCTGAAGGAGACCTTCCCTGGGCAGCCTCTGCAGCCACAGGGCCTGGTCTTCAGCCTCTGGACTCTAATGTCCTTATTGAAAACCTGTCTGGGCTCTGTCCCCATTCACAGTGTGCCCCCCACACCCCCCTCCCAGCTCTGGCCCTCTGGTTTGCCCTGGAGTCCTTGGTAGCCTGATAGGCGGGGTGGACCAGCCTGTCCAGAGGAGTGGAGGAACATGGGCTGTTCCCCATTCTTCCAGGGCCTGAGCAGGTCCCCCTCCCGCCCCATGGCCTATCTCCCATGCCTGAGACACCTGGGCCTCAGTCTTTGTATTCTCACATCTGTGACTGGTCCAGAGCCCAGTGCAGGGCAGCCCGGGCTGAGCTGGGGCTCCATGGAACCCAGAGAAGCCTGCCCAGCCAAGCTGAGTGCCAGCGCTGAGCTCAGGGCTATGTCCAACCAGAGCCAGGCCATCTGGGGTCCATCCCCAGCTGGTCTGTGGACCTGCCAGTAGGGGGTGAAGACTGCCTCCCTCCTGAGCACAGAAGCCGGCAGTCGCAGTCGGTAGTCGCAGTCGGCAGTCGGCAGTCGTAGCGGCAGGTGTGCCACAGTGCAGGTAAGAACAGCTTTCCCGCCCTTCTCAGCAGACTTTGCCCGCTTTGTTTGCAGTTTCTTATTTTCACTTCCTGCTGCAGAGGCATGGTGCCTTCTCCGGGGGAGCCCTGTCCTACCCAGTCCTGGTCCTGGGTCTTCTCTCTAATGTCTTCGCCCACCCTCCCTCCCCCAGGCCTGGATCAGCGTGGGGGGTGCTAGAGCTTCTGCGGTGAGTACTGAGATCCCTGGGGCCTGCAAGCAGGTAGACAGGGAAGGGGCCTGGCCTGCCGGACTTCCTGGACAGGAGGTAGGATGGAAAAGGTGCAGGGACAGCCAGACTGCAGCCAAGTTCTCCGATGTTCCAGGCTCTCTTCTCTCTGTCTCTGTTCACAATAATTTCTTGCTCAGTGTCCCATGGATGCTTCATTTGATTTTCCTGGATTTTGCCCCCAACATTTAACAGACTTAAACTGGTTTTGCTGCATTTTGAGGTGAAGAGAAGAGTCATGTTGCTCCTGGGAACACTTTGGGGTCTTTGGACATGGCTGTGCTCCTTACGGGGAGGGTCTTCTCCAGTGTTGAGGATGAGTTTGGGGACAGGCTGTGCCCACCAGCTCCCTCTAGTATTCAGTTCTGCAGGTCGGAGGCCCCTGGATAGTCCTGACAAGGAGGTGGCAGATGATGTGTGGGGATGGTCCTTGATTAGGGTCAGCCAGGAGCAGGGCAGAAGCTGGCAGGAGCTGGGCATCCTCAAGGAATGAAAAGGAGCTCTCTGTGCCTGCAGCGCTAGTGGGAGAGGGTCAGGTTCAGAGAACATGGCGAGCGCTAAGGCTAGAGGAATAGGTAAAGGAAAGGCCTTGAGGCCCTTTAAAGAGCTCGGGTCTTTTCTCTTGGGCAGGGGCAGCCATTGCAGTTTTAAGCAGGGCCTGGTGTGAGTTTATTTGACATCTCCCTCTGGCTGAGGTCTTGGGGATAGACTGGAGGTTGGGGACCAACTTGAGACATCCAAGGAACACATGGTTGCAGACATCCATGGAACACATGGTTGTGTCCTAGCTGGGCGGGAGGTGGTGGAGGCCAAGAGAAGAGGTCAGTGTCTAGATATGCCCAGGAAGCAGAACCAGCAGACATGACACTTGAGGCTTCAGGGTTTGATTGTATAGATCAGTGGTCGGCAAACTGCAGCTCGCGAGCCACATGAGGCTCTTTGGCCCCTTGAGTGTGGCTCTTCCACAAAAACCATGTGTGGGCATGCGCATACAGTGCGATTGAAACTTCATGGCCCATGCGCAGAAGTCGGTATTTTGCGGAAGAGCCGGTATTTTGCGGAAGAGCCACACTCAAGGGGCCAAAGAGCCACATGTGACTCGGTTTTTGTGTCTCATTGACCACTGATATAGATCAATATGAGAATCCATGAGCATGGTATCCCTCTCCATCTGCCTTCATCTATGGCAGTGGTTCTCAACCTTGGCTGCACATTAGAATCACCTGGGAATCTTTTTAAAATCCTGATTTCTGGGCCTCATCCTCCAGAAATTCTGTTTCTTTGTTATGGGGTGGGGCCACAACATTAGTAACAAAGAAACAGAATTTCCGGAGGATGAGGCCCAGAAATCAGGATTTTAAAAAGATTCCCAGGTGATTCTAATGTGCAGCCAAGGTTGAGAACCACTGATCTTTGGAGACCTTCTTGAGTCTCTCTCAGCAATATTTTGTAGCTTTGAGCACACATGTTTTACTTTATTCTTAAGTACTTTGTTTTTTTCATGCTTATAAATGCTATTGTATTTTTAGTTTCCTTTTTCAGTTGTTTGTTGCCAGAAATACATTTTTTTGTGTGTCTATTAATCTCATAACCTATAACATTGCTAATTCACTTATTGGTTCATAGTTTTGGAGTAAATCCCTTTGGGTTTTCTATATACGCAATGTGTCATTTATGAAGATAGAAAGGTTTACTTCTCCCTGTCCTGCCTGGAAGCATGGTTGTTGTTGTTTTTGTGTCTCATTTCCCCTGATTAGAGTCCAGAACCATCTGAATGGAGGTGGTAGGCAGTGTCCTTGCTACTAAGCACAGTGGGAGCTTCCAGTCCCCTCAGTGAGTACAGTGTTTCCTGTGGGTGATCCGTGATGCCCTTTGTCAGGTTGAGGGAGTTTCCTTCCATTCCTAGTTTGCTGCGTTTCTATCATAAATAAGTGTTGAATTTTGTCAAATG